GTGTCTGTGAGTGTGTGGGTCTGTGTTTGTTTGTGTGTCTGTGGGTGGGGAGATGGGGTGGTGCTGGAAGAACAGCAAGGTGGTTTTGCTCTGTTTGTACACGTGGCCTCTCTGGAAAGGAAATGCTCAGAGTTGAGTGCCGCTGATGGAGAGGTAGAGCTGCCATCATTCACAAAGAGGCAATATTCAGCAAGCAAACCTCCCTCTGGGACAATCGCTTGAAGAACATCAAATGTGTTTCCCCTTGATGCTTGGTGTGTTGCCAACACCGCACCTGTCATGTTGCTGCGTGTTTTAAGTGTTTTGGGGTGTGTCGGGAGCTGCTCGAGTTATAGGAGTCTCTTTGGAAGTCAACACATGGCCTGTTTCTCTGCTCTTGCCAAACCACAAACCGTAAAGCTGAGCTGACACATCAGTAATGATAGCTTAAGCTTTTTGGCACCTTGAGAGAAGATATGTTTTCTTTCTTTCAAAAAAAAAGGAGCAGCTGTACCTGTTCTCTCACTTTTACGGTTTAATCCCCAGTCGGTGTTTGTGTAACAGACTGAATAGGGCTTCTTGCCAAGAGGCCCTCTTGAGGACCTGTAAATCCTGTCAGTCATCGGGTTACATAAGTGTCACTTATACGGATGATATAAATGCATGCTTGCTTGCTGATAATCAAGGCACAGCAGGCATCTCCGCTGTGTGCAGAGTATGGACAGGCAGCTGTCTCACTAGAAGGCATGCAAAGAATCCCAGAGGTGAAAAGGGTTGTTGAAGAAAGAACTTGCATTTGGATAGCACCTTTCACTCCCTCAAGTCTGAGGTGAGCAGATTGAATATGCAAGGGTGCACAGCCATCTGCTGTCAGGTCTGGGTGGACTCCGTTATTAACATCGGGCCTCCTTCTGCTCTGATCAAACTGCTCACAACTCCGGGATTGTAACGCCTTGATGAACTCGATTGGCAATCACCTTCTTACGGTCACCTGTCGGTGGCCCGAGATTTCAGCCACGTAGGCCTTGAGCTCTGGAACATTCTCCCGATACTGTCTGCCTCTCACCTTTTAACATCCGCCTTAAACATCCTGTTTGGCACTTGCCTGCCCTCTCTTAATGTATCAACTGCTGTGATGTGATGTCTACATTAACCATCTTGAAGTTTCACTGCAGCAACTTGCCAACTGCACTTTCTAAACCCACAACCACTATCACCCAGAAGGACAGGGGCAGCAGATACATGAGAGCACCCAGCTCTCCAGGTCGCACACCATCCTGAGCTCGAACTCTGTTGCTGTGTCTTTACTGTCACTGGGTCCAAATCCTGGAGCTCCAGCCCTCGTAGGACTGTGGGTGTACAGTCACCACTGGGGCTGCAGCGTTACAGGAAGGAAGCTCAGCATCTTCTTAAAGACCATTAAGGATGGACAACAAACACTGGCACTGGCTGTCACCTTCCTTAAATCTCTTTGACAAAGTCAATGATCGCTTCCATTGATTTTTATTTATTTCTATCTTTGCCTCACTTCCATTTTTCCTGGTTCAATTGTTAAGTTCCTTATGACATAGTGAAATCCCTACAGAGTGAAAGCAGGCCATTCAGCCCATCAAATCCACACCAATCCTCCGAAAAGTATCCCCACAGACCCATCCCCCCCACCCTATCCCTGCATTTCATATGGCTAACCCACCTAGCCTGCACATCCGTGGACAATATGGGGCAATTTAGCATGGCCGGTCCACCTAACCTGCACATATTTGGACTGTGGGAGGAAACCCATATAGACATGGGGAGAATGTGCAAACTCCACACAGACAATCTGTCCAAAGGCTGGAATCGAACCCAGGCCCCTGGCGCTGTGAGGCAGCACTAATCACTGTGCCACCGTGCTGCCTGCATGATCCTGTCTTTTCAAGGAGCATTTCTAAAGTCATTCAGCACAGAGAAGGCGCTTCGGCCCAACACGTCTGTGCCAACCTATCTACACTAATCCCACCTTCTAGCATTTGGCCCAATGCCTTTGATGTTATGACATTTTGAGTGCTCATCACATACTTTTTAAAGGTTGCGAGGTTTCAAAGCAGAAATGTTCATTTCTTTTTTCTTGTGGTAATGTAAACACAACCGTGTTGCACATTCCTTCCCAGTGTGGGTCAGATTATAAATGATACATCGATAAACTGTCTGCAGCACGTACACTGTGAAATGGAAGACGCCGTGGAGACAAACAGGGGGCGGAGGATTCCAGGGGTTGCATTTGGAATGGGCAGGGCAGCCCTGAGGAATTTCTGAATCCATCAACAATATTGTCTTGCGTTCTTATCTCCCGCCGGGACCCGGAGCAATTTTTACACCAGCTAGAGAAAACAATGCCACAACCGGACCCCCGGAGTTACCACGGCAACGGGACACGGGTCAAGATTTAACGCCCAAGCCTGTGGAGCGTGACGTTTGTCTGGATGTTATCCTCAGTGGAACTCTGTAATCAGCACTAAGCTGCGAAGGCAGGAGAGAGAGAAATGGTTATGATCACGGCAACCTCAGTCAATTGTAGCTAAGCTAGGGGTGGCGTTGACTAGATTCTGGCAGACCTGACATTCGATGAATTTAATGGTGCAGCTTTTATTTTTCTGTCTATGCTGCCTAAGCTGCTGGGCTTTGACCTCTCATTCCTCGGGGGGTTGGGGGGATCCATATGAGATTTTTGACAGTGTTTCCATGCCTGGGAGCACATAATCCTGGACATTTGCTAAAGCTCTGTTAATCCCCGCACAAGTGCAGTCATCAGTTCACAAGGCTGCACCCACACACTCCATTTCCTGTCAAGAAACAATGTCATGAGTCACGACCAGCCTCAGGAATTTGATGGTAACCCCGCAGGCTGAAGATCAGAGCTCCGTAGTCCAAATAAATAGCTCGCAATAGAGATTTTGCTTTATATCACAATCTACTTGACTTGTTTTGGGAGGGATAAAGAAAAGCACAATCATTTTTTGGCTGAATGATGTGATTTGGAGTTGGGGGTGGGGAGCATGAAGATCTAGGCCATTAATTGTGGGTATTCTTGGTGTAGAGCTGCATTACACAGTTTGGTTTTGGAAGCAGGGTTTGTCAAATGCTGGTTTGCATCCTTCAATGTTAAAATAAACTCCCTCTGCATTCGACAGAATTATGCAGAAAATGGGACTGAGCTCAGAAAGGGATAACACAGTGTGGAACACAGCAGACCAGGCAGCATCAGAGGAACAGGAAAGTTGACGTTTCAACTTGGGAGGAAGGGTCCCAACCCAAAACGTCAACTTTCCTGCTCCTCTGATGCTGCCTGGCCTGCTGTGTTCCTCCAGCTCCACACCTTGTTATCTCAGACTCCAGCATCGGCAGTTCTTGCTATCTCTCAGCTCAGAAAGGACGATTTTGCAGGAGTGAGCCTGTTGGGGAGGATGGGTTTTGAAGTGAATAGTAGAAGATAGAGAAACACTGATGTGGGGAAGGTCGAACCCAGGAGGGGTGAAGACTGAACTGACAATGTGGGGAATCTGGGAGGAAGGGCTATAGAAGCAGCCAGCACAATCAGAATCAAGTGGGAATCTGACTGCCTGAGAATATGGTGGAGGTGGGTTCAACTGATGCATTTACTAGGGACTTGAACTGTTATTTGGATGGAAACAATGCACTGGATTACAGGGAGAAGGCAGGAGAATGGCGTTAAGTAAAATATACCAGGAACCAGTGCAGCTATGAAGGGCCAAATGGCCTCCTTATGCACTGGAATAATTCTGTGATATAGGCTTGCTGGTGACCGTGGAGTTCTGGTGAGATGAAGGCTCAGTGACAATGAAGCATCAGGGTGAGGTGTGGTGACCCTCTGGTTAATCCACCCACCAGTCACCTCCATCTAATGAGAGAGCAGCTCCATGGTCCAGTAGGATTATGGCCTCAGTCATACATCTCAACAGGTAATGTGCTTTAGGGTCATGAAAGGATTGCCCTTACTTTCTCTCTGATTTTCCTCTTAATTTTTTGCCAAGCCTTGAAATTAATTCTCATTCCTTAAATATTTGAAAGCAAGCCCTCAACAGGGTGGTGGGGGGACTTCATTGTGATTACAAGTTGACTCCACTTTTGGTGTTGACAATCAATGGGTACACTGCCCTCATTGGTATCAGATTATTCAACCACTTGGAAATTCATTGTTTGTTTTTCAGTCACTTGTTTACTTAGAACTTTACCCTACTTAAAATATTATCACAATGAAGCCAGCTCTCTGCCTCTATACTAATGCTGGTGTCAGCAGCCTTTGGTAATTTTGCTGATGGTGTATCAACATTTTGTTGTCTTAATGTAATGACTAATAGGACACAGAGTTATGAGAGATAAAGGTTTGTTTTGCGATCCCTCTCATTCCATTCTGGTGAACCTGGTACGGTAAACCAGTAGTGTAAGATCAGTTATGCATTGTGCTG